TGAGTTTAGGTACGATACTTGGCAAACAGCTACTTAATTGTTTCGGTGCACAGTATGCCATTGCGCCCAATAATTCGACCGATCCTGTTGATCCAAAGTTTTCCTTCAATTACTAATTTCTATTGTAGTAGAAATGTAATTGTAAAATTTGTCAGAATACTTACCAGTTTTGGTCCTCCAAGAATCTTCCTCCAGTGCCGCTAATAAACTTGGCAATACCAATTTTACGCCATGAGCCGAGAGTTTACTCATAACTACTCTAGCTGTATCATCTGTGGCTGCTCTTACATATTGACTGGAGTCTCCAAAGCATAATAATAAATGTGGTAATACGTGAACGATGTATGGTTCGAATAATCTACCCAACATCGTACATAACATTTCAAAAGCAAACAATGCACCTTCTCTGTGCCTATAGTTCTTTTTGTCTTGAATAGCATTGGTAAGTGTAGTCATAATGTCTAATTGTTTCAATGCTAAAATACCCATACCCTTGATGATACCTGCTAATCCATAAGCAGCACCTTTACGTTCTCCATACTTGTCCGATTTCAATAATTGATCCATAAGATTATCAACGATTTTTGGTGCATCCTCTTTGATGGAAGGTACAAGATGCGGTAAACAATTAGCCACTGCTTCCTGTACTTGTTGGGATGGCGTTGAAAGAGCTGCGATTAAACGCATCACGATTGGCTTGATACGTGGATCGTCTTTGTCCAAATGTCTCGCTAACGAACCCATTAAAATAACTACAGATTGTTTTATAGAATCGAAGCTACCAATTTTAGGTGCTTTGTCCATGAAATCTTCGAATACAGGTAAAAGGGAAGTTATATTTTTTTTTCCGTGAAGATCAACCGCAGCTACAGCGGCATTCAACATTTCCGTACGAACCGATTGGTTCCTATCTCCTAAGCCCGTTGAAACGAAGAACTGTACAAGACGTTGAATAGTTTCTGATGTTAATAGCGATGCTATTTGAGTCAGGGCAAGTGCTACACCACGACGCGGTGCCCAAGTATCGATCGGTTGTTCTACCACACGACCAAAATCATTAAGTTTTGGCGGTATCATTGCTAATTTTTCTTGATACAATTCTAAAAGTCTATCTAATATCGATGGAGTTAAATGCGATACGTTGGTCAAACATTGTGCCAAAGCGCATGCGGCAGCTTGCTGTACAGGTTCAACTGGATGTGCAATATCTTGAATCAATTCGTCGCAAAGGATATCAGGATGAGCTATTAAATTAGCAGCAGTCCAGAGCTCATTGGCAAGTATTATATTCTCATTGCAAACATCAAATCTTGCGATCCATATTCTTCTTGTAAGACGAAGCAATTGTATGGGATCCTCTTTTTGCGATGGGAATGCTTGTCTTATAACAGTGAGACCTCTTAAAGCTGCATCCCTTACCGCTGATAATGCATTTTGTAAAGCACCGATTAACGAATCAATATCATCGCTCGTTGCCAAAGCTGTACCTGGTTGACCACTACCAGATTGAGCAACGTCTAATAACGTTGCTACCGCATGCGATTGTACTCTTCCAGTTGTATTACTCATAAGTTCTATAAGTAAATCAAATATTTGTTTTCTGGGTAATAGCCTAGGATGTCTCGTATCTTTCAAATCTGCACTGTTTCCCCTTTGTTTAGCATGATCCTGAATTATTTGCAATCCTTGCACTATCATCGCGTCATCTTTGTACGTTAATAAGGTCTTCTTAAGAAATGGAAAGATATAACAGAAAGCAGGTGCGGTAAACAAACGTTTATGTTTAATCGTAATCGTATGAATAAGATTTAAAGTTCTTTTAACAACTACGTCTAAATTCTCATCCTCCCAGGCTGGATCTAAATCACATTGTGGTTGCAATTGTCTCAATGTAACGTGTGCTATTAAATTTCCTAATGTCGTACTTGTACCGATCTGTACGATTTCTCGTAACTCGACATAAAGTTCGGATATAGCTGGTGCGGCCAATGGGGATCCTAAATTTTTTAAAATAGGCGACAATATATCTTTCAGATATAAAGAAAGTTCTTGACCGTTACCACGTATCGCACAACGTATAAGCGATACTGCATGATCTATCTTTGATTTCAATTCGGTCAATCTCTTTCTAATACCATTTTCCTTTGCTATTTGTCCTTTTAAAATTTCTTCCTGTTTCGGTGTCAACTTCGGTTCCTTTATCTTTCCCTCTCTTTTACGTTTCTCATACAATTCACGTCTCAATTGTAATTCCTCTTGTTGTTCTTTAAAAGAATATACCTTACTTTCTCGTTTCATATTCATTGCGTTTAATATGTCATTTTCATCATTGGTTGGCAGTACGCTCTTATCATATAGTTCGCCTTCGGGTGTAAGATAAGTAAAATATTCGTCCTTAGTCACCTTTAAAATTTCCGAATCGTTTAGTTTATTCGTTACGTTTAATATTAAACTTGGCAAAATAGTATCCGGAGCAAGTTGAAGTACTTTAGCAAGCGCATTCTCGTAACTTGGTACAGGATTATAATTTTGTATGAGCAACTTTTTTATTTCGTTGCTATAAGTTCTAAGAAAGTCTTTTGGTACAAGATTAAAGTTCTTAGCTATTTTCAACCATAAGTTTGGAACAGCTTTTAATATCGCTGGATGATGAGCCGGAATCAATGAGTCTCGTGTCAATTGCATAGCAGGTAATTCAAATAGAAATGATCCAGAACATATAGCAAGTAATCCATCTGCTAAACATCTACCAGTTATCTCGTTAGTAGACGTATCATCTTTATTATCTTTGTCATTTTCCGATTTGATTTTAACATTTTCAAGGAACTTATTAAATTCTATTAAAAGTGCTTCGACCGGTGCGTAAGTACTTAAACTAGTTAAAACTTTTTTTATCAATGGAAAGCAACGCTTCCTGATAGCAGATTTTGGTGCTGTTGAACATGCCACGATCGCTCTATGAATTCCATTCAAAGCCTTTTCATTTAGCCTATCAACAAATTCTGTAATAAGACGTTCGCATAATAACATAAGATGATATAACGTATCGTCACCGCATGTTGTTAAAAATTTTTCAGAAAAGAATATTTGTTCGTCTATAACATTCCATAATATTATTTGTTTATCATTTTCCACTTGATCTGCCAATACAAATTTAAGTAATAAATATGACGCTACTAATCCTTCCGTTACAGCCATAGGCTGTGCACTTTGTTGCATAGCTCTTGTTATCGCTTGGATTAAAATAGGCGCTATCGTGCCCGAATAAGAGTCTACTGGTGTAGAGAAAAACAGTTTGATGTAAGCAGTACGTACTGATGCAGTAGAAGTTTTTGCTGCCATACCTTTTTTAAATGCATCTATTACACTTTGAGGTACATTGTTTGCAAATTTGTTTGACCAAAGTGCCATCATTTCTAAAGCATGAATCAATGTTTTTTCATGTACCTCTGTTTCAAGAACCTTTATGAAATGTTCGCATGCAGTTTCAGCCAATCGTTGAACGCTACTTCCTGAAGCTGCATTGTAACTCAAATTACCTGCTCCTTGTAATACAGATATTTTATGAGTTGCCACAGTTAATTTCCCTTCGGATCCATGAAATACTGCGAATACAGATGCAAGTAAACTCTCCAAGGCAGTTGTGTCTGAACATTGTCGTGCAAGCCTACGGCATGCACCTACAGCCTCTTCCCTAACAAGATCTTCCTTAGAGTGTAAATTTGCAAATAATCCTTTGCAAATGTCTTGACTATATTGACTTAAATCAAGACTCAATCCACTTAATATATGTCCAACAGATTCAATTATTATTTCGGGATTTCTTAACATAGCCTTTTGCAAAGCTGGCAACAATTGTATTTTAAATTCCTCATGAGATATTCTACGTAGAAGAGGTATCGCAGTATCAACCACATATAGATCTGGTTTTTTCTTTGAACTGATGGTCACTTTTATGAATGTATCTATGACATTTTTCTAAAACGATAAAAATATATTATTTCTTTCTATAAATATTGAAATCAATATAATCCACAATTATTTGAATTATATTAATGAGATTACCTTCAATTGTTCTATAAGTTCACTTTTCTTTGCGTTCACCAAATATTTTGTGAGCAAGCTTGCAAGTACAATAACTCCATTTCCAATCTCAAGTTTTACTAATGTCTCCACATATTTAATTTCAATATCTTTAACGGATGACCACTCATGCGCGAGCAACGTATACGTTTTATCAGATAATTTTTTATCCGTAGATGCCAATGATGCTGCGCTTAAGTTGGCTTGGGCTTCAATCAGTTTTCCCAGTTCTGTGCAATTCTCAAAATTCTTATTGATTCCATGTAATATCACAAGTGTTGACCATTTTAATGTCAGATATGCAGTTAAAGCGGTATTCAAACTAAAAAGTGACCAACATAAGTAACGTTAACATATATAATATTTTCTTATACTATAGTACAAGGTTATGTCATATGATGTAATGTTAATCTTACGTAGGAACAACATTTTTATGCCAAGTAGCTTGTTCTGCAATAACACTTGTCATATGTTTCACGGTGGCTTCCGGTTGCTTTGCCAATAACTTTTTAATGACATTTTTCACGTAAGATTGGGAAGCTGTATCTTTATATCGATGCAAAGTAAGAGATAGAACTTTGCAAATACCACAGACGATTTTGTCATTAATACCTGAAACGATATAACGAGGATAAATGATAATGGTATGCATTTTTTTCTCTTTCTTTTTTTTTTCCATTTTAAACGATAAAACAAACTTTTCATGTACTATGAAATAATAATAATTTCAATCAATTGTATCTTATAGAAAATAAACATTTCAAATATTTGTAATTGAATTGTCATTGTGAACTAATATGTATAAATATATATATATATATATACATATACATATATACACAATGTATCACCAATGAATAGTATTTACATAGGATAAAAGCATGAATTGATGCAGATTCAACTGGTAGCGAATTATCTAATTATTGGGAATATTTTTCAATAACATATTAAAGTGGCACATTGGCATGGTATTAAGAGATTATTGATTGTTATCAATTCTTGTTTGTTTATCGATATAATTGTTATCAAATTAATTTTATTACAATATTCAACGTTATCTTACCAGGATTTGACAACACATCGACGACATTTTGTAAAATCTCACGCCGCTCCTTTTTGCTGGCGGTTTGAATTCGATTAGGTAAATCTTTTAAGGCTTTAGTCAGCTGTAATATAAACGTTAATTAGTTTTTTGTAATTTATAGATAATATTATATCTTTTAGTATTCCACGTGACAGACTTACCTCGACATCCGCCATATTTCTTCAAAAACCGGACTGACTATCAGCGCCACGTTTCCTTATTTTGTAATCACGCGTTAGATGAAGTTGTCTACATATGTACGTATGCATTGACGAGATCATCGATTCGTTCTTTTAAAATAAATATCAAGTCTCGTTTATTCGCGAGTATTTAAAAATTGAAAAAAAAGAAAGAAAGAAAAAAAGAAAAAAAGAAAGGGAGAAAAAAAGAAAATAAGAAAAAGGAGAAGAAGAAGAAGAAAAAAAAGAAAAAGAATGAAAAACGAAAATCAAAAGTCAAAATTCAAACATTGGTTATCCATCGTATCGTACACATCGTATTCGAATAAATTTGAACATTACTCACGGATGATAAACAAAAATCGATTCTACGGTCGATACGTTATAATTAACGAAGAATTAAATAAGAAAAAAAAAAAAAAAGATCGATAGATCAGGTAAGAACCATTAGAGATATTTACGTGGCTATAATTTGTAATATTTCAAAATAATTGATAAAATTATTTGTACATAAAGTATCCGACGTAAAGAATAGCTCGAGAAAATAGTTCGATTGATTGTCGCCGAGAGAGCGCCACCATCTGATAAAATATTGTCGCAGGGGTGAGAGTTGATTTTTCTTAAATTTGACCTAAGTGACTTAGGTGAGATTTTCTTTCTTTTTTTTATTTTTTATTTTTATTCTTTTTTCTCTTTTACCTTCTTTTTTTTCTCATTATTTACGTTATTAAAAAAAATCAATCAATGTACGCGTACACATATAATATAATTAATTAATATAAAATAAGTATCGGTACGTTAATAATATTATACACACACATATATATATACATGAGAGCAAACGAAAGAAATAATTTATTAAATTATTACGGTGAAAGTTAGATGTACATATACACACACACACATATATATATATATATATATATATATATATATATATATTTATTACAAATTAATCGGCGCTTTAACGAAAAATTATTTTTAACAGGAACTCAGTATGAAAGTTGCCAGAAACGGCGAAGCTCCAGAAAAGAGATTGCACGCATTTTGTCTTTAATCAATGTGAATCGATGGAGGATGGTATGGGGGTTGTTGGGGATGTTGAAAAGTAAAAAAAAAAAAGAAGAAAATAAATGTAATGAATAAAAGTAAAAGAAAAGAAAGGAAAAAAAAATGAGAAAAAAAGAAAAAGAAAAAAAAAAAAGAAGAAGAAGAAGCAACACCACGACACGAAAGAAGATTACGCGTGAGTTGTTTCGTCGTTGTGGGACCACGCGTGCCTAACGTAAGTCACGCTAACCTTCTTCTTCTTCTTCTTTTTAATCTTCTTTTCTCAATTCGACGAATTCGGCGATCCTTCTACGGAGAATTCACGATAATTTCAAGACTATATTACCTTGGCACACCTGTATGTCGTAGGAGACGTATGTTCCGGACGATCGTCTTCTACGAATTTTCTCTCTCTCTCTCTCTCTCTCTCTCTCTCTCTCTCTTTTTCTCTTTTTCTTTTGGTCGTTGTAAAGAGCATGCAAGTTTTATCCTCGAATAAGAGTGTTCAACGTGCTCATTATTCATTGGCTCATTTCTCTCTCTTTTTCTCTCTCTCTCTCTCTTTCTCTTCAGTGGTTCGTGTGTGTCCACACACTCTTCCACCTTGGTATATGTATTTACATACATAGGCGTCGCAATTTCAAGTACAACTTTTTTTTTTTTTTTTTTTTTTTTTTTTTTAATCCATACATCTTTCTTCGGTCTTCCTTTTCTTTTTTCTTTCTTTTTTTTTCCTTTCCCCTCCTTCTTTTCTTTTGCTTTCGTTGTTTTCTTCTTTTTTTTTTTTTTTATTTTTTATTTTCTTTATTTTTTATATATAACGTCGTCCAAGAATAAAAGAAAAACTTAAATCTTTACGTGATATCAAACGAAATACATTGAATATTTCTTATCATTAACAATTGACGATGGGTATCTTCTATGATAGGATGATTTGCGTGTGGATAGGATTGATAGGGAAAAGGGAAAAGGGAAAGTGGGCAAAAGTTACGGAAGTCGTTGACGATTCCCTTCTTTTTATCATATTCTATGGGATTATTACAATTGCATGATATTTATTGCGTGTAACCAGAATAAATCTACAATGGATCGATAAGTGGATACGTAGAGAAGTTTTTCATTCTTCTTTCTTTCTGCTTTTTTTTTCTTTTTTCTTTTTTTTTTTTCTGTTTTTATTTTCTTTTTTCTGTTTTTCTCGACAAACTCATACATAAGTAAGTATTCGCTTACTAACTTACTTACTTACTTACTTACTTACTTAGGACGAATTTATTCTTCTTCCCACTTTGTATAGATTTACATGCATACATAGGCGCCGCAATTTCTCACTACTTTTTAAATTCACACTTTTTTACCTACGACTTTGATTTTTTTTATTTTCTTCACCCTTTTTTTTTTTGTTTCCTCCTTTTCGCTTCTTCATTCGACAATAAGATAAGAACGTTAAATCTGTAAATGCTTTTGAGAGAAACATTCGAATAATTATTAAATCATTGTCAATTGCGAGATTTAATGAGTCATCGTGTTTGGAGAAGGTAGATGGGAATAGATAGAACGTCAATTTAAGTTCCTTATCATATCTATGAGATATTACAATTGCATAATATTATACGTGTAAATCGTATAAATCTGCGATAGAAAAAATCTTTCTTTTCTTTTCTTTCTTTTTTTTTTCTCCCTCTTTTTTCGACTCAAACCCATACGCCTACACTTATTATACATTCGTCGAGAATTTACAAACTATGAATTGTTTATTCCTTAGATATTGCGACGGGGATAAATTTTGAAAGTTCAAAATGGTAGTGCCGCGATATATATATATATATATATATATATATATATATATGTATGTATATATATATATGTTGGTGGTACGAAAAACTGGCCGCTTTATGGATGAAGACGATCCACGGCAACTTTGCTGAGAGAGAACGCGATCGTTCTGGGATAAAGTCCAAAAGAGAATAAAAAAGAATGAGATAGATAGATAGATATATAGCGATAGAGATAGAGAGAAAGAGAGAAAGAAAGAAATAAAGAAAGAGATAGAATGATATATGCGGCAAGTTCCCGAGCACGCATCGCATCCCATTGCATCGCATCGTGGTGGCACTAATTTCCTTGAATCCAACAGCGCATGGAAACGTTTCTTATGGCACGCATGGCTTGCAATGAGTTTACGGATAGTAACATCTTATAGTTACATCGATGGTGATCATCACCGACGGCGCCACGGGCGGCCGGATTTCTTTGCGTTCTTGAGTCTCAGGGCGACTCTCGATCCATGTTTCATGAGCTACCATCTCCTTCCTCTTAACCAATAAACCATGGTATAACTCTTTCTCTTTCTCTCAGCTTAACTCGAGTTAAGAGAAACTTGAACGAACACTTTCCACTATCGATCGATTCCCCGATAGTCATCCTTGATTACGATAGAGTTGGTACTACTTCCTACTTCTATATATTATATAGATACCTATTATAATAGACGATCCAATCTTCATTTGAATTTTGGATTAGATACTATATCATCTATCTATCTATCTATCTATCTATCTATCTATCTATCTATCTATCTATCTATCTACCTATCTCGCGATCATTTTATTATTATGTATGTTTAATATTGCAATCTTATCTCATAGGTAGTTTTAATACATTTTTCAAATACATATATACACATGGATTTATACATATATATATATATATATATATATATATATATATCTATATAGATAGATACAATATATATTATAGTATAGAGATAAAAACGAAGAGAGTGATCGATCGAGAAATCGTCGATCGAGATAAAATACCTACTCGATGAAATCTCATTACAAAATACTAGATACTCACGGGAGGTCGACGGTTTCGTTCGAAACGAATCGAAGAAATAGATACCGATTTCTTCCATAAATGGTTGATCTACGATGTAACGATGTCTTCACTCTCCACTATCGACATCACAATTAGCCTTCTACGTAGACGTAGCGGCTTAGAACGGACAACGTGCGTCGTGCGAACAAACTCGACTTATTCTATCGTCTTTCTATCGTTCCTTTCTACTTCTTTTTTTTCTCTTTCTTTCGATTAAATCATTCTCTCTCTTTCTCTCTCTCTCTCTCTCTCTCTTTTTTTTTAATACTTACGATATAAATAATGACGCATTTTAAATTATTACAAAGAAACGTAATTTACGAAGTATGATAATTTAATCATTCACGTAATACGTACTAACGTGAAACATTAAAACATTTCTAATGGAAATTTAAAATGGGAAACAATTAACGCGTGCAGTAATATAATCGATTATTATTATATAATGTACATTTATATATGCGTATACATATGTGTATACAATGTGTCATATTTTAAACGACACGATCGAATATCTCCGATTCGTAATTGATTTTGTAAACAAACGATTCAAATAAAATTTGTCTTGTGGGAATGTAATGGGGGATGATAGGGGAAATGAAATATATATTACGGCTATTTCATAGAGATCATTATTGTCAAGATACGGAAGCTATAACAATTTTATTTTCTTTTTTTGTCTTTTTTTTTTTTCGATAGAAATTGATATTTTAACCCTAACAAAAGTTATAAAAAATATTTAGTCGAGTTTCGACGATTTAAAGTTTACTCGTACATTGTAATCGCAATTGATATTCTTTACGATTGTTAAATGAGGATCGTATTTCAAATGATTACAATATTAAATGTCTACGAAACAAATTAAATAAATAAATAAATAAGTAAATAAAAGGATGAATGGAAAATCAAGAGAAAAATAAAATCGATCGACGTATTCATTATAATATAATGATTAATGATTCATTATAAATATTTATAGGAATATTGATCGCGTTATTGCGAAATTTTGATTAAACTCATTGATATGTCGATGAAAGAGTACAAAGTACATACTTTTAGAATTTGTATCGATGTTTTATAAAACTTTTGTTAAGCAGGAAATATTGATATTTATGTAAAAATATTATTATGGCTTTTGTACATTGACAAAAAAGCATGCTCCACCATGAAATAGCTGTGATACATATTACATTAGACTCTTTAAAATCTAGAAAATTTTATTTGAAACATTTGTTTACAAAATCAATAGGATAGTAAATATTTGGCGATATATATATATATATATAAATGTATATATTTGTGTGTATGTGGTGTATGTGTGTGTATACATATATTTTACGTTATATTGCACATGAGAAACACTTTTTCATGCATTTGCTTTATAACACGTCAATAACTCGAGGACTCGTATGTGCATATACCATTCCGTGGAAATAATGAAAATCGAAAAAATAAAAAGTAATCCCGTCGATTCGTTCGACGTTGAAAAGTACTCCTTTCATTTTTGTTTTGTTTGCTTATTTGTTTGTTTGTTTGTTTGTTTGTTTGTTTGTTTGTTTGTTTGTTTGTTGTATTTTACTTTTTATTTTTTTCTTCCTTTTTTCCCTTCTCTCTCCACCAATTCCAATTCGAAAATCTCCAAATGCATTACCTTTGAGGAATTACTCAGCACTCATTGAAATTTCATTTCGAATACCTATCGTCGAATTATTTGAAGTTAGTACTTTCAATGATTTCACGAGTTCTTCAATCGTTAAAGCCGATTTTCAATGGCATTATAATAGCGTAAAGGGCAAACGTTAAAAGATATATATTAATATTGGCGAATTAGAATGTCATAGGGAAGTTCTGAATCGTTTGCAGTTGGATTTGAATTTAGAGGGGAAAAAAAATAAAAATAAATAAAGAAAGAAAAAAAAAAAAAGAAAGAAAAAGAAAGGAAAGAGAAGAAAGAAAGAAAAAAAAAAGAAAAACAAGAAAAAAAATACTTCAACTTCTTCGCAGTTGACGAACGTGGTGCATACTGATGGGTAGATAATCCATCTTAAATAATGAATGAAAAAGCTTTTTCTCAATTGAAATGCAGGTTGCACTCGTTGCATTCTTTCCTTCTTGCTTTTATCGTAATCAAAATACTTTAGAGATTCGAGGTATGTATGTATGTATGTATGTATGTATGTATGTATGCATGCATGTA